ATGGGTCATCTCATGGTGAAAAAGGCTGTGCAATTTGAATTCCAAATGAATTTCACCTCGGTGTCCTGTAGGTGTGTATGTGCTATTGAGCAACGGTTTCTTTTCCCGCACACACATATACACACATACAATCCGTTTTCCACTTTATTTCATTCAATATTTCATCGGCATACGTCCATACACGCATACAAACGTGCATGCATGCATACATGCACACATGAATACACACCCTGTCACACATACACACGTATATACATATCATTTCGACTGAATAAACCCTGGTTCAGATATCTGATGTCATTTTCTCAATGAGGCATTACTTCTGACGTTTTTCTTTATTTCGTATCGTCCAAGTGGGTGCGGGAATTTATCATTTCGCTGCTTAGAACCAACGCCAGGTTCAGTCCCAGACAAACTTATGAAACGGCTCTTCGCTTATTTGACGGAAAGACACAAAGGCCACTTTAACACCGTTGGTTTACAACGCCCTGATTGAGACACATGAGCGAGCGTAAGATAGAACCATTTGCTGTATACTAACNTACTAACTTTCTGTGTGTGGATGGCACCCCCCCTCCACACACACACACCACGCCACTAATATCAACCGTGCACTTAATTGAGGAGGTAGTATCCACGGCGCTACAATCTATCAATATATCACCAGTCTCCCGTACCTGACGGAGTTCACCGGTTAGAGATCTAAGAAGTACTTGGGGGCGTGCGTGCCACCCAGCACACCTCTGTTCAGCATGTCAGTAAACATGGGAAAGCTATTTTAGAATTGGAAGCAAGTATCTTCCTTCCACTATACAACGATAATGGGAAGCCGGATCCCCTTAGCTACTCTCAAACTAGGTTAAATTCTATCACTTACAACACCTTGGTGAACCTACTCACCAAAATTCTGTTCCTGAGAAGGGCTTCTTATGCGAATAACAACGCGGATTCAAAAAAAGCAAATCGTACTTATTAAATCTGACACAAGGTAAGATCATCGTACGGACGTCATCCTTGCTGACACTAGCAAAAACCCCGGAAGACCGACTTATGTCCTTTCGTTTGGGGACTCACTGATTCATTGAACCGAAGATTATCAGATCAGTCCTATACCCATAGCTATTCGATATTTTCTAATCTGTGCTTAAACGATCTCAAACGATGGTTTCCAGCGATGATGTGCACATTCCTCAGACAGACCTGAAAGTTATTCTGAAGTGATGGTATGCCTTAGTTTCTATCGACACCAAGAAATGCTCACAACCTGTTCAAAACAGGGGTCTGATACTGCGAAGTACTTCATGTGCGGTAACTCTCTTCGTCTAGTTACCTGAGAAGCGATATCCGTGCTAAAGTGACTTCTGATCTACAGATTAGTATCCACATTGACACAGCGCGCTCTTCTGCTTGTTTTTTCCTGCCAATCTTTTGATGAACTATACCTGGATGCCTTTAAAATGTTATACGCTTCTCATATGTACCTATGTTTGGACATGAGGTCGGGCACCATTTTGATGCACAAATGCCTAAGCAAACAAATTGGAACGAGTACTACAAGGTGCTACCCGCCTTGCCCTAAGGGGTCATCTACGAAGTAACGCTGGAGGTCACAGGACTTCCCCCGCTGGTTCATAAGTGAGCAAGAATCGATGAGATTTACATCATACATAATCCGTGGAGATGTGGTCTGTGAACTGTATGCAACGTTCCAGTTTCAAGGGAGCACAATTTTACGAGGAAACCCTCATTGACTCTGGTAAAGCGGAGTTTGGTAGGTTTGTCGCTGGTTTCTGCCGCATATTCCGAATATGGGCTAACACGTGGAATTCGTTTCGGGCTAGTGTTATGGAAGAGGTCACCGACAAAGTGTTAAAATGAGACCTAGGTGAATTCCAGCACCGATAGTGGAAAAATATCTAAACCCAATTCATGCCACTGAGTTCCGACTGTTATAATTGCACAAGGCGGTGCTCGGTCGAAAATAGTTGTTCATTGAGGATTACTGATGGGACATCACTAGTCTGGCATACATAACATAGAAATCTCATTAGAAACATACCGTCGCAGTTCTTGGCGCATACCGGGTAATGATTGTAGCAAGCGATAGTTAATTGTTTGCGACCAAGTAATTTACCCTCGGTGATCTTGCTAATTTTTGATCGTCGAAATAAAGCACTATGTTACCTACTACCGACAGATGTGAGTAGTACCTCGAAACGCGAAGACAAGGCTCTAGCGGAACCACATCGCAATCTCTTCAGACAAGAAGAAATCTACCCCACTGACGTGCTACCTACTGACTCGAAACGTAAAGGATATGTGGTGTGCGACTCAGTTTACGTTACAGTTACGTTACGTTATGTTTTTTTCGCTATCCCATTTACTAAATAAAATATTGTACTCAGGAGATGAATAGTCTGATTATGAATGGGTAAACAAAGTGACAGACAATCACTTTTGATTATTTTCTCTATTTTATATACTTTTTTTATTGGCAATGTGCAGAGTCTGTGAAAAGAATGGTTTTGTCGAAGCTACAGTGAACCAGAGAAACACTCAGCAGATCCCAAATTGGAAAGAGCCTGTGCCTAATAATGATACTCTGGAAGTCAAGTGAAGTCGTTTTTGAGATTGAATTATTTCGTTTAAATTGTGAAAGGTTCAGTAACCTCAAAAGGATTGTCTCAGGATAACTGGCATTTGCTAATCTGCGACGTCTCTGGTCTCTCCCCAACACATCCCTTTCATTGAAAGGCATTTGTGTATAGCGCAATGGTTAGTGTTGTGTTACTTCACTGCCGCTTCACTGCTGTCTCTCCGTGCAGATTACAATCAACGACTGTGTTCTCAACAACCATTGTCTGTGTAACATCGCCCGCGCATTTTGGTAGTACACCGTCTGACATGCTTGTGATACGTCCTACGAATGCCAGAACAGCATTTACCCTACCGTGTGCTGTTCGCAGACATTAGACCGGAGTGTAAGAAACAGCAAGCTGGGCAAGTTATAACGTGTTGGAGAGAGTTAAAGTAATTGTGTTCGGCTTTGGTTTTCGTCTGGGCAGACCAGATTACAAGACTTGAGGGACGATGATTCAGACTGTCTTTGGTTGAATACACTATGAGATATGATGTACATGTATGTTTGTAATTCCAAAATAAAAAGACTAAAAACATAATGACCTTTACCCCACTCGAAACCGATGAATTGTTATTCTCTTCCTGTTATGTTCTCTCAACCGAAACGTACACCCATTTCTTATCCATCCTGAATGAACTTTTTGAAGCTCTGCTTACAACGTACGTCGAGGATATTTTTCTGCTATTCATTCACCAAAGACCACATGTTTCATATCAAATACTTTTCATGTTACAGAACCCCAAAGTAAAATCTCCAGAGATCGTTCCGTTTATGCCACTGCATAGAAAATCCCTCCCTAAGTTAGTTGGATCTCTCACTCGCGCTCTGTTTAGCCGGACAAAGTTATATTAAAGATTTGATTTGCGCCAGATCCTTTTACCATGACTTCTATCACTTTAATCCATTTTCAGCGCTTCCAATATGCAATTCAGCTGGGCAAAACTCAGTTGTTCTGATTGATTACACACAGGCAACTAAACTACTCATGAGTAGGCAGATCATCAGAGAATGAAAGGATAATCAACAAAATATGGTTTATCGGGCACATCAGTGTCATTTACGACCGAACAAGGGCAGAAATAATATCCCAAAAATAGGTCAATAGATTTATTTTTCTCTTTTTTCTCGAAGTTACTGCAATGAGGGTATTCAAAATCACAACCATAGAAGTACTGATTGTGAGGCATTCGTCTGGGTATAGCATCCAACATTACTCCTAACTAGAATCTAAATTCACTCCTCAATAGAAGAAAAATGGGAATATTCATAACGCGTAGTTAAATTTAAAGCTATATATTACAGAGATCCATCCTCATATGAAATTCGATCAATCCTCTGCAACGAGAGAAGCGAGTGTTTTCTTTTCTGACTGCGTAGTTTACTGCAGCGTTGTCTGAAGCTAGTTTTTAACCCAACGTGGCACTCACCTAGGTGAAAATTTATCTATTCCTAGGGTTCCCACGCACAGGTAAATTCATCATTACAATCAATATCACCATACCGCACTCATTATTATCATCATCATCAACACCACCATTGTCAAAACAACAACAACCATCGCATAAGAAGCGGTCAAATAAACAGCAACACTCGTTGCAACAACAGCAAAACGAATGAGATCAGCGGAAACATAAGCAACAGCAGCGGCATTAGAAACAGTATCAACGATCAGTAACAACCATGAAAACAACCATAACCATTCCAGAATTCATCCAAACTACCACGGTTTTTGAAACCGGTTAACAGAAGTCAAAGAAAGAAAGCGATACATTAAGGCTGAACAATTGAATCAATCAATAAACGAACAAATGAATGAATTTGAGAAGAAAATTTAGGACATTTGAAAACAAAATCCAAGAACGTAGACTGCCCAGGGCTGAGACGACATGGCAACATGGTGATGTGATTGATCTGTCCACGGAGTGGGAGACGAAGAAAATGTTTCGTACCACAGTAAACTGTGATGAGTTCGAGCTCTACGGAGTACCACATTTCAATGCAGCTGTGTTCTGTGAACCAAATCATGCTAAGTAGAAACCGATGGGGAAAAAAGAAAAAAAGAAAAAAGGGAGTGAAAAATCAATCGCATTTGAAAAGCACAGTTTTTCGGAACAGGTATTGAAAGAACAAGCAACGAGCACCGTACCCGTATTGCACTCGGATGAAATCTGTTCTTGTGTGTGTCTTTGTGTGTTTGATGCGAAATTTCGGATTGAAAGTACCAGCGACAATCTTGTGCGTGGTTGAGATGATAAAATATCATTTTGCAGGTAATATTATACAAAAACGACTGTCGTTGAGACGTCGATTTGGGAGTAGTTTTATATATGAGAGTGGACAACGGTATCGGTTGTGCGAATTACTCGCCTAGGCACTGAAGAAGACGGTCGGAAATGGCAAAGTATCCACTGGCACGTCGAAAGATCAGCAATGGTCTACCGGTTCCCAGCGGAGGAGAATTGATCACATCGATTGCGTTCGGTGCAGGGCCAACCATCTCGGTTTCTGAACTGCCTCCAAGACCAGTCTGGGCGCCACCTGCTACACCAGAAACACGGCCGGAACTAAAAGGACCCACGACCGTGTTACCCGGACCTTTTTTGCACAGGACCCACCACGGAGTTGTGTTATGGCCTAAGCGGGATCCTCGACGCACAATGCGTTTTACTTGTCCCTGTGAGTCATTCGAACTGCTAGTGGGCGATCCCGACCGCGAACTAGCTGAGTAGCTATGTGCCGGTTTCAAAATTTGTGTTGTCGGTTGGTTGGGTAACTCCCGCACACTGTTCATTGTACTAGTTGCCGAACGACCAGGCAAAGTCTGTTGCGACCCTTGGAAATCAAACGTGGAATCGATGAAATCAGCCAGGTGAAAACTGTCATCCAATGCGTGCTCTGGTTTACAATGAAAAACACATGAAGTTATTACAGATTAGATTTGAATATACAGAAATTGATAAAACAAAGTGTCACAAGATTCATTTTTAGTTTTAAATGCAAAACAATATCATAGGTACTTAACTCATCTTAATGAGCAGGTAGAAAGTGAGGAGTTATTGGAAATGGTATCACAACAAAGGATTCGGTGTGGTCCAGGAAGCAATAAAACATAACTCAGAGTTGTTGTTGTTGTTGTTGTTGGTGGTGGTGGTGGTGGTGGTGGTGATGG